TTGGTTTTTTGAGACAGGGTTTCCCTTTCCTGGAACTCCCTTTGTAGCCCAGGCTGGTCTCAAACTCAAAGAGATCCACCTGCCTCTGCCTCCCAAGTACTGGGATTAAAGGTATGGGCCACCATCACCCAGCGTACCTCGGTTTTCAAAAAGAGCCATCCAACATAACATGCATACAGATACAGATGTGTGCTTCAGGCTCCTGCTGTGTGACACACCTCGGTGTTCTGCCAGCATGAATGCCAAGGACCACAGGCAAAAGCAGTAAGACCTACTTGATCTTACTGTGGCCAAGGGGTTCCTTCCCCATCCCTTCCGAATGCTGCAGCCCGTTAACCTCATATCGTGGTGACCCCCCAACCATAACGTCATTTTCGTTGCTACTTCATAACTGTCATTTTGCTACTGTTAGGAATCATAATATAAATATCTGTGTTTTCTGATGGTCTTAGGTGACCCCTGTGAAAAGGGAAAGGGTCATTGACCCTCTGAAGGGGTTGTGACCCACAGGTTGAGAACCATCATTTTCCAAACACTCTCTGGCTGATGGTGGTGGGATTCTCCAGTCCCCACCGCCGCTTCGGCATGGTCAGCCATCCTGATGTCCACCATTCTTGCAGTGTGTGAGGTGCTAGCGCTGAGGTTTTTCTTTGTATTTCCCTGGGAAGAAATGCTGTTCTTTTATTTCCCTCTGTGCGTGACTGTAAAGTGTCTAGTCCAGTCTTTGGCTCACGTGCTCCTGCCTCCGTTATCTTTGAAGTTTTCATCTGTTGGACAGAGTTGTCAATTCCGAAATCTGAATTTTTCCCCGTGGTCCGCTGAGGGGCACCCTACGACACCTATGCTAGCTCAGGACCCTCCCGTGTCTCAACAAAGCTATGGGGGAGAATTCGGACTGCCTTCTCTGACCCTGGCCCCTGGGTGTACTGTCTCTTTGAGACAGGCAGAACTGCCTCTCTAGGTCAATCCATGTCACTCCTCTGTTCTCCATGCCCTGGAGGGACCCATCAGCATCCGAGATGACATCAGGCCCTGGCGTCCAGAGGGATGCTTCGGCCCCTTTCTCTTCCCTCCAGGTATCCTCATCTACTACTAGAGTGGAACCCTTACCACCAACACTACCTTGTCCCTTCTCACTGCCAGGTCTTGGCTGGACTCCCCCTCCACCTGCAATGACAGCCCCAATCTCTCTTTCTCTGGCCTGCCTTTCTTTTCTCTTTAAAAGTCAGGCAGTAGTGCACATCTGTAATCCCAGCACTGGGGAGGCTGAGGCAAGAGGGTTGCAAGTTCAAGCACAACCTGGGGTACATAGCCAAGGCCTGGTTTAAAACAAACAACAAAACAGTGTGATCAAATAGTATTCTTCTGATAGGACTTCTGGGGAGTCTTCTGTACCACCCCCCTGCTGTGGGATGGTCTGTATGTCAAATTGCTCTGATTGGTCAATAAATAAAACACTGATTGGCCAGTGGCCAGGCAGGAAGTATAGGTGGGACTAACAGAGAGAACAGGAAGGCGGAAGGAGAGACTGCCAGCCGCCACCATGACACGCAGCATGTGAGGATGCTGGTAAGCCATTAGCCACTTGGCAAGGTATAGATTTATAGAAATGGATTAATTTAAGCTGTAAGAACAGTTAGCAAGAAGCCTGCCACAGCCATACAGTTTGTAAGCAATATAAGTCTCTGTGTTTACTTGGTTGGGTCTGAGCGGCTGGGGGACTGGCGGGTGACAGAGATTTGTCCTGACTGTGGGCAAGGCAGGAGAACTCTAGCTACACACACCACCACCCCCAACTGAGCCAGCCCTACCTCCTGCAACCCCATAACACTGGGGCATCCATCTACCCACAAGTCCCTACGGACATCTTCGGCTGCTGCCTTTCTCTAGGCTCCCCAATGCTAAGTGCTTCATCTCAGCACTGAAATTCCTACCTGTGGCAGGAGCTAGACAAGAGCCTGCCAACTGAATGATCCCCTTAGTTCTGAAACGGCTATTTCCAACTCTGCCATTAAAGGGAGTATGTGGTAGAGGGGGCAAGCTAGAGGGGATGAGATGAACGGACAGAATCCCGAGCCCAACCCCAGGACTGACTCTGCTGGACGGACAGCATCAACCAGTGTGCCCGGGCAACCCTAAAGAGCTGTGCGCTTGAAGTCGTCCTTGGAGGCTCCAGCAATGCCCAAGAGGATGGCGGGAGGGGCCAAGGGAGTGCAGGGCTCTGTTCCACCTCTGCCTTGCTCTTTACCTCAGACAGGGGGGCGTGGGACCCTTCCCTTCCGGCTCAGGAGGGGTTGGTGCTCCTGGGGTCAGAGGAGGCACCTTCCACCTCAGTCAACTTCCAGGCTCGCAAAAGGATCTGTTTGGTAACTTTCCTCTCATTCTGGAGCCCGCAGGAGGAGTCTGGCATTAATCTACCCACTGTGGTGCAGACTCTCCTCATTCACAGCTCGGCCTGTTTGACTAGGACATCAGGTGTGGGTGTTTGCAGCAGGAGGAGAGAATCCAGGACTCTGGGCGGAGTGCAGCCTGAGGCTGGACCCCTAGCTCCCATGCTGGCTCCTCTCCACAGCCAGTTTGTCTGGTGGCTTCCTGTACCCATTCTCCAGTGACAGCAGCTGACCACCTCATCATGCCCGTCCTCCCCCACCTTTGGGACATCTCTGACAAGGGGAGAACACTCAACTTTTTTTTTTTTTAATTCAGGTTTTATTTGTAATGTTTAAACACAAAACTTTTATTGGTGTCTACCAATTGTACAAAATAGCGAGAGAACTGTGAACTTCAAACGTCCACCTGCCTCAGGACTCCTCTCCACCCCACGGGCCATGTCCTAGCCTCTGAGTCACAGGGAGCAGACACAGGTCCTCTCCATGACAGCCCCTCAGGTATGTGACATCAGCTCTCCTGCTTCCCCCAGCCTTTTCTTCCCCAGGTCAAAGGTCCTCAGCTCCTACTCATCTTGCCCATGTCGTGGTTGTGGGTTCCCTCAGCAACCGCCCGGTGGTTGCCATGTCTGTCCTCTGTAAACTGTTGCCAGCTCCAGGGATTCAGACCTTGGATGTTTGCTTCAGCCTTCAGAGATGAGGCCTCGCACTGAATCCACTTTGTAGGGTTTTATTTTCATGTAGTCGGCCATGCTCTTGACAAATAGACCCTGGCTCCCAGCTTGCTCAGCTGTAGTCTCCGCAGGAAAGGACCAGTTTTTTTTTTGTTTTGTTTTGTTTTTTCCAAGTGTACTCTGAAGTCCTTCAGGATGATGAATGCTAAGGCCATGTGAGAGAAGGGGAAACGGAATGGAGAGGGTGGATTGCGCCCTCAGAGAACATCTTTTAAGGCCTCAGCTATCACTGCCCCCCCACAGGGGGTGGGGGGGCCATTCTGCAGGTGGTAGAAGCACTGTGGGAGGGACTTGCCCGCTAAAGCATCTATGGCATCTGCATTGAGCTATCTCCCACCCTAGATAGGAACCTCCACTGTCCTTCCAGCACAGGAGTCAGCCTGTCCTCATCTCTGTCTTCACACATGTCTCAGATAAAGGGTTTAAATTGGTTTGGAGACCCCATGCTTAGATTTAGGATTCCCATGTGTCTTAATGACCATGCTCAAGGTGAAAAGTTGGCATCTGCCTTCCTGAATATGAAGTCTTTCCCTGGAGATCTGTGGCCCATGGGCAGCTGTCCGTGCCTCTGCTCCAGACTCTCCTCAGGTCTCTTTAGGGTGAACTACCAACCCAAGTAGGAGCCATCCAGCAGGCCTCACAGTCCTTGAGGACAAGGGTGTGTGACACACAGGCTGTCCCTGTCCACCAGCCAAGCTTCCCAGACTGCCATCTGTCCTGCTGTGATAAAACACCATGACCCAAAGTAACTTGTGGGAGTAGGGGAGGGTTTATTTCAGCTTTTTAGCTTTAGTCCCTCATGAAGGGGAAGTCAGGGCAGGAACTCTGGAGGCAGGAACCTGGAGGCAGGAGCTGATGCAGAGGCCATGGAGAGTGCTGCTGACTGGCTTGCTCTCCGTGGCTTGCTCAGCCTGCTTTCTTACACAACCCTGGACCATATGCTCTGAGATGGCGCTGCCCATCATAGGCTGGGCCCTCCCACTTCATTCATTAATTGAGAAAATGCCCTGCAAGCTGCCCTCCTACAAGCCAGTATGATGGAGACATTTTCCCGATTGTGATTCCTTTTCCCAGATAAACTCTAGCCTGTGTCAAGTTGACAAAAACCAACAAACAAATAAACAACAACAAAAACAACCAAGATTCTGTCACTTACCTTGGGGACCTTTGGCCTGTCTCTCTGGAACCCAGATCCTACATTTGCCACCATCCTTTACGTTTTTGAAGTGATGCCCAGAAAACTGACTTGGGTCTTTGTGTTCCCAGAAGCACGGCGGCTCTGAAGAAGGAAGGGAGACTCACTGCCAAGGTTTCAGAATCCAAACTCTTTTGTGCTCTTTTGTGCACTTACTTTTTGGCCTTAACCTTTGTGGCAGAGTGATGATTGATTGACTGCAGCCCGGGGAACAAAACGTCCCATGCTGGAGAACTTGTCTCTGCAAACTTCCCTTCCCTCCCTCCCTCCCTCCCTCCCTCCTTTCATCTGTCTGTCTCCCCATTTCTTCATCCCTTCATTTTGTCCACATCACTGAGGACACTGAGGAAAGTCATTTGAGCCTAATTCAAATATGAGACCAAAAGGCCATGTTAGTCCACACAGCCTTCGATGCTAAGACGAAGCTATGGTCTAGTCTCCCAGCAGAAAGTGGGTCGCCTTATCTCAGCTCAGCTCAGTTCAGGCACAGGGTTGGAGAAGCCTGGGCCCACCCTTCATCAGAGAAGAATGCCCTTTGTGACATTCAGGTTGCATTTGTCTGGAGTTCCCACACATGCCCGTGGGATCCTGGAGATTAACTGTGAAAAATGACCTATTTTAACAGGTGCACACTTGTGTGTAAGTGGGATTTAGCCCAGCGTGGAATTATTTTACCATGGAAATAAGTGTGGGCACTGAGAAACATCACTCTTCTGACCACACAGGAATCAGACAGAGGGTCAACACCGGGGAGTTCCCTGCGACTTGAAGCGGATGTGTTGGTTGGATTTTTCCAGAGGACGCTGTGGTGCCATGGGGAAATAAACAATAATACCTACAAAACATGACTGTTTGTGTTCCAATTCCCTCTTCAAAGTAGGTCCCCGCTCTCCAAGGAGCAGGGACTGAAAAACTTCACTAACTCTGTTCAGAGAAGGTACTTTTCCAGCAGGGAAGCAAACGCACATCGCATATCATCGTCTCAAAAAGGTGCCAGGGCCCAGGGAAACCGGCCCTGGCTCTGTCCCATTAACACCCTCAGGATGCCTGGAGCAGAACAAAAAACCAAAGGCCTAGGACCATGGACCTGCCTGTCCCCTGCTCACAGGACCGTTCATTTGAACAACGTGCATGGTCCCTGGGCCTCACACTGAAGTCCTAGTGGCCTGCTAGCATCTCCCAGCAGCTGGGTAGGCCAGCAAGGAAGAATTTCAGAAGTGCCTGAGGGCAAAATACGGTTGTGAGGGTGGCAGCTGGTCTTTCCTGTGACTTCACTTTCACAGGAATCTGCTCTGTGGGGATTTGGATTTGGCAATCGGCAGAGGGCTCCCAGAGAAATGCATTTCCTTAATGGGAGAATTCAACCCTCCCTCCTCACGGACACCCTGTAAGAGGACATTCCCGAATAGCCCCGAAGGTATGAGTTCCCAGTCTGTTCATCAGGGTGGTCTCTTTAAGGAGAAATGCCTTAAAGAGATGTTGGCCCCCAAGTACAGTTGCTAGGTGATCCTCTGCAGGTAGGTCACCAGGCTTGTCTAAGGCTTTTAAAAGGAAGAAAATGTAACCTGCTCCTTGTGTTCCTCAGGGCCAGCTCTTTCCATTTAGGTGTTTGCATAGACCTCATGCGCTAGTATGTATAACGTCCAACAGGGAGCATGTGCTAGAAATACCAAACAAACATGGCTTCTCCATGCCTGCACATACTGGTCCCCACCCCCCTCCTGGCTAAGGGTAAGGTGAAGGCTGACTGAGTATGCACGTGGAACTCTGTCTTCTGAGAGTTAAGAGGGTACCGATGAGCGGTGTTTCATAAAAGATACTAATTGTGACAATTTACTGCCTACCATGCCACAGGTGTATGATACCTGCGTATATTAATCGAACCTTAACAACCCCCTGAAAAGTAGAGATAGTTTCATTGTGTAGACGAAGAAGCTGAGCTTCAGAGATGCTCTCAAATTTGCTCAAGGACACTCAGTCTGCAGTGGTGACGGCTTTGCCCTCTGCTCCGTGTCCTGTGACATCTACCCTCTCCCCAGCCCCTGGGGCATAGTGATCATGAACATAGAACACGGAGTACAAAAAATGGTGTGCAGGTCAGGACGCCCAGCTTTCTTTCTGAGAGAGAGAGAGAGAGAGAGAGAGAGAGAGAGAGAGAGAGAGAGAGAGAGAGAGAGAGAGAATTCTGAGTCCCGTGCTTCCGGCAGCTGTCTGAAGTCGATAGTGTCTGTTTCCTAAATCATCTATTTTCTAGCTTGCAGAACCATGGCTCCATTGGTCCTCTTCTCACGTGCCACACTACGGAAGCTCCTAGCTCCTGGCTCACCCCTCCTGCCCTCTTCCAGGCAGCTATCCCAGCCCCCAAGACCTAAACCAATGGGAGAAGAGAGGCCTCCAGAGGGGCAAAGCTCTCAGACTTCCCTAGTGAGAAAATCGATACCGAGTCCCGGCTCCTCTGACCACCCAGAGGGTGGGCCTGCCTGGGCAGAGCAGTGGACTTCTGTGGTCCCCCCCAGAACCTTATTTACTATCGCCCAGATTCCCAGCCTGGCCTGTCAGCCCGGGCCTGCCTGCAGCTTCGGGAGGCACTGGGGAGGGCCAGTTTCAGGTCTGATGAAAGCCACCGAAACCAGCTCAGAGCTCTCATGAAAGGAACCAAGAAGAGGCGCGGGGCGGCAGGCATGACTGGACTTGTCTTCCTCTTGGGGTGATGGAGACAAAGACGGCCTCATCCCCAGGGGAGCGCTGTGTCCGCCCCCCCCCCCCACACACACACACAGCCTCCTTGCCTGGAAGAAGTGACTAAACCTCTGAGTCCGCACCAAAGCACCCTGGAAGCACAGGCCGCTTCTAACACCACGGCAGTGTGGATAAAAAAGTGAAAGGGGTAAACGGGAAGGTGGCAGCATCGGTTCCTGTCTAGACTGCAGTTTGGGAATGCAGCCGTCCAGATGAAAGGGCACATTATTGGAGACAGGCTATAAATCCACCGGGTCAGCAGGACCACATTCATTCACCTAGGATTATTTACAGTTCTTTGCAGTCTCTGGCCATTGGCTGTCCTACGGCCCTCCGCTTCCAAGTTTCCACGGAGTCGCTGATTGCGTCATAACCCGGAAGTAGCCAGTCACATCTGATTTCATTTTGAGGGGCCTCACTCCAGGAGAGCGTGCTCCCTCCTAAGCCCCTGCAAATCTTCGGTTCTTCACTCCGGACTCTAGAGATACCCAGAGTGTTAGGAAAGGGAATGGGGTAGCCACCCCATGCATCGACACCTGGCAGGGCAGGGTCACCAAGGGGGGGCTATTAATTCCGTCTTCACAGCACCCTTGGGCCCTGCCCATCACCTTTGTGCAGTCCGTCAAGGTCGTGGGAAGCTGCTGGGGCCAGATGATGTGGCTCCTTTCTGAACTGCCAGCCTGGGATCCTCGGTAACTGGAGCCCTCTGCCCAGCCACCGAGGAAGAGATGTCACCGAACTCTGCCAGAGCGAAGGGTTTTAGGCATCACCACGAGGCTCGGCCAATACCAAGGAGCTAGGCTGGGTTCTCCTCAGTCTGGAGTCCTGCGGTCTTAGCTGCATGAGACTTCTGGACCTGGATGATCTCTGCACATTTGCAGCTGAAGAGTGCAAACCCCAGTCAACACGCTTTCTCTTGGGAGTCCTCTGTGTCTCTGCAATGAGACAGCTGGACTAGAGAGAAGGTCAGCCCTGCTTCTGCCACGGGACCTGAACACAAACGTGTAGTCTCAAGTCTCTGTATTGGCTTTCTTTCCATTCCTTCATGGATACCTTTGCTTTGCTTTTACTAATATCAGCATATACAATTATTCTAATGCGCAAACGATTTTCCCATCTGATATTATGATTTCACCCTCCTATGATAAATCAAATAAAGTGTCTGCTGGCATGGGTGGTATTATTTCAGATCAATAGTAATGCTGGTACAGTGGTTCCTTGCTATCCCTGGAAGATTGCTCCCAGGATTCCCTGAGGATACCCAAAGCCTCAGATGCTCAAGTCCCTTATGTAAAGTGGTATCGTGTCTGTGCACATCTTCCTATGTCTTAGGTCCTCTTCTGATTACAGACAGTACCCAATAGAGTGGATATGCTACCGATAGCGGCCATACCATTACTTAAGGAAAAACTATGGGAAAACACAGGCTGTGCATGTTTGCTACAGACACATTCATTGTTGTTATTGCCTTTAATGTCTTACTACATAGCGCAGGCTAGCCTTGAACCCCTGCTCTTCCTGCCTCTGCCTCCCAAGTGCTTGGATTATAGGCATGCACCACCATGCCTGGCTCAGACACTTTGTGTGTGTGTGTGTGTGTGTGTGTGTGTGTGTGTGTGTGTGTGTTGTGTTATGTACACCATCGAGACCAGAGACCAACAGGTATCTTCCTCAATCACTCTTCACCTTATTTTTTGAGGTGTGGTCTCTCACTGAACCTAGAGCTCACAGATTTGGCTCGACTAGCAAGCAATCAAGACGAGGATCCTCTCGGCTCTCCCTTTCCGGCTCTGGGATTACAGGCACAGACCCAGTTTTTAACATGGGTTCTAGAGATTCAAACTCACACCCTCCGACATGTGTGGCAAGCACCTTATTGACGGAGCCCCAGACCCCCGACACAGTTTGGGTTTTTTGGTCATATATTTTCAGTTTGTGATAGAATGACTGTGGATAGAAAAGCCAATAGGATATGCAGGGCAAAATGACATGGTTAATATGTATTGTCTACTTCCCAGGAGCTCCATTCTGCTCTAGATGCTTAGCACATATTAACCCATCCCATTTGCACAGGTCAGCCTTTTCTTCTCTCCCTTCAGTTTTGCACACTCTTGAGTTGGTATAAAAAAGTAACATCCATTTATTCTTCAAAAAAAATATTTATTTTTTATGTGTATGAGGGTCTTGCCTGCATGGAATTACGCCTATCACAGGCATGCCGGGTGCCTGTGGAAGTCAGAAGAGGACTTCGGATTCCCTGGAACTGTAGTTACAGCCAGTTGTGAGCTGCCATGTTGGTTCCAGGAACCAAAGCCAGGCACTCTGGAAGAGTAACAAGTGATCTTAACGGCTGAGCCATCTCTCCAGCCCCCATCCATTTAGTATTTTATTTTTTGTTTGTTTGTTTGAGACAGAATTTGTCTATATAGCTCCGGCTGTCCTGGAACTCTCTATGTAGACCAGGCTGGCCTCAGACTCACAGAGAGCCACCTGCCTCTGCCTCCAGAGTGCTGGGACTAAAAGCATGCGCCACCACCCCCGGATGCACTCACTTAATTTTAATGTCCTCACACCTGTCCTTTCTTCCCAGGCACCTGGGACTCATGCCCACCCTCCCGCCCTGCTTTCCTTACATTTAGCTATGGTCGGTTGGGGACCACAGCTTGTGCAGATGTCCTGTTGCAGGAGGGAGTGGCAGGAGCAGAGACAGGGGAGGACCCAGAGGCTGCTGCCTTTGGTAAGACTCAGCTGCTAAGGAGAGCAGAACCAGACACGCTAGGCTTATGGGAATCACAGGAAGGAACAGGAGGATTCTGGGAAGACTTCTGTTTGTGGGTGATTTTTTTGTTTGTTTGTTTGTTTTAATTTTTGTTTTGTTTTGTTTTGTTTTTGAGATAGGTTTTCTCTGTGTAGCTTTGGAGCCTGTCCTGGAACTTGTTCTATAGACCAGGCTAGCCTCGAACTCCTGAGTACTGGGATCAAGGGCGTGTGCCACCACTGCCCGGCTTGTTTTTTTTTTTTTTTTTTTTGTTGTTGTTGTTGTTTGTTTGTTTGTTTTTGTTGTTGTTGTTTGAGACAGAATCTGGATATAATAGCCCTGGGTGGCCTGACACTTCCTATAAGGACCAGGATGACCTAACATTTGCGGTGACTCTCCTGCCTATGTCTGCTGAGCACTAGGATTACAAATGTTTGCCAGCACATCTACCACCACTGAAAGATTCGGTGCCAAAGTCTCTGAATGTGACCTAGGCTCTCTCTTTTAAACATACCACCCATCCTGCTAAAAATCTGGAGAGGGCAGTGCCTGACCCCCCATATCTGTGAATCAACTTGCCGCCGCCGCTCCCCAATAACCCCCCATCCAAGGCTTTCATCCAGCAGCTCTGGGGCATGTGTCTGGTTTTAGGGATATGATGGGCAGCACTCTGGGTGATGGGAGGACTGTGCAGTCTCTAAGAGGCCCTGTCTGAGCATGTGGCTCCTTTCTCTCCAAGTGCCCATCCTTTACCCGTCTCAGACTGAACTGTCACATCTCTACACTTTTTTTCTTTCCAGTCAGCCTCATGAAATACTTCTGACCCTTGCTTTTTAACCCTGGTCTCTGTGCCATCCGAGGCCTCAGTGTTCCACTGTTCCTTACAAATGTGTCTCCTAAGGTGCCTACTGAGTCCCTGTAGCTCCTTTTAGGGGCTCACAGCCCAGTGCTGGGCAGAGATTAACCATGGAGGCTGGTATCCATTGCCCAGAGAGGAAGAAGACACACTGGTCTTCTAGAGAAGGGAACTTCCTTTCTATCCTGGGATGGGACAGGACCAGACATCTACACCAGGGATGAAGGATACTTAATGCAGATGGTGAAGCAGGAGCAGGGGAACCAGTGGCCCAGGAAACACAGCTTCCTGCAGAGTAAGGATGTCAGAGATGCTAGAAGGCAAACCCGAGGGGAAGACACCATCCTTCAGAGCTTTCCCATTGCATTCAGATAAGAGGAGATGGGTTGAGACAGGTTCTCATTCACTCTGGAGCTCAGGCTGGCCTGGAGCTCACTGTCCACTTTGCATTCAAGTTTTTGAGATCCTGCAAGGCAGGGTTTAGCCACTTCTCATCTGATAAGCAACAGGGAGCTGGGGTCAGAGATCTGAACATCAAGGGAACTCTGAGATCCTGCTGTGTCTCCCAGAGGGAACAGGAAGGATGTGAGCCAGTGAGAGCTGGTGAGTTCTGGTTCATCTGTCCTCTGTCTTCATTCAGGCTACTCCATCTGCTCATGGTTCTGCTCACTCATTACCGTCACAGTCCCATCCTCAAGTCCTAATTCCAGGAACCCAGCAGAAAGCAGGGTCTTCTCTGTGGACCTGAAAGCTGTCTTAGACCTATCCCTTACCTCTCTCCTACATTTAAGACACCACGTCTCATATATGATGTCTACCCATGGGTCCAAACTGCCTTCCAGAGTGCACAGTATGTTGTAGTGTATTAGTTTAAGATGTGTTTCATTCATTTATGCTGTTGAATATTTGTTTAATGATGCAAAGATGTGTTGCGTTCTTTTATGTTGCATTTGCTTAACTCTGTAAATCCATGTTACTTTGCCTGTCTAAAACACCTGATTGGTCTAATAAAGAGCTGAAGGGCTCGGCAAGAGAGAGAAATAGATGGGGCTGGCAAGCAGAGAATGAATAGGAGGAGGAGAAATCTAGATCAAGAGCGAGGAGAGAGGAGAGAGAAAAGGAGAAGGAGAGGAGGAGGCCAGGAGTCAGCCACCCAGCCATGGAGTAAGAAATCTATAGAATAAAGAAAGGTAAAAAGGCCCAGAAAAAATGTAGTTAGCAAGAAATGAGTTAATTTAAGTTAGAAAAGCGGGCTAGAAACAAGCCAAGCTAAGGCTGGACATACATAAGTAAGAATAAGTCTCTGTGTATTTATTTGGGAGCTGGGTGGCGGGTCCCCAAAAAGTTTAAAAAAAAAAAAAAGGAACTACAGCAGTGCTTAAGGCCTCCCTCAGCATCTTCCTGACATCTTCAAAGACCCATAACACCTTCCTACGGGGACCTGTTTAGAAGAAAGCACTGCCTGAGATGGATCTGTACAAAGACACTGAGAGCCGGGGGCTGTACAGGAGGAAGAATGAGATGGGGCCTGGGACCTGGGCCAGAGGTAGAAGAGGTCCCAGGCAGGGACAGCCTCTGGCATTACCTGGAGCTGCTCATATCTGGTCCTGCTATCTACAGCCACGTCTGCCCTCCAGAAAAGCCTGGGACATGATGGCTGGGCCCTGATAAGATGGAGTGAGGTATGCTTTGTTCATCTGACTCCCAGCACAGAGGAGCCTGCAGACATTCACTGAGTCATCCAGAAAGGCACC